GAAATGAGAAACCAATAACCTAGTTCTATCACTGAAAATCTAAGGTCCTAACAAAACACCTAGTCCCAGGAGTACTAAGATAACCATTCTTTTTATACTTCAGTAAATAGTTTCTAACTTTCTAAGGTATGTAAAGCATTTAGCATTGTTCTTACTACACTGTCAAAGAAAAATGTTATTATTCTAATGATCAATTTTAAAGAATTCAATGGAAATCATGTGAATTGGAAGCATTTATTTCCAAGAACTTATGTAATGGCATATTTTTGTTATAGAAGAAAAATAACAATAAACAATATGAAATTGTGTGCTGTAGAACTTTGAAATACCACTGTTTAAAAAAAATTTAATTTCTGCTTTAATTCACACTTACTGGGTGGATGTGTAGTTGCAGAGCCTGGGAACACCTGGAATGATAATGCTCACCGACTCAAAAACAAAACCACAGAGCAGATGTGTTGCTCATGAATTACAAGTGGATGAGTGAAGCGTTGGAGCACAAAACTATTGGACACCAAACAGGTGCAGGGTAAGAACTCTGACTTGTTTTGTGAGACTCGGGGTGTCTACTGTGTTATGTAAAATACTCATAAAGAAGACTATACTTCTTTAACTTGAATATTCACCTTTTGTTTTACACTTTTATGTAAATTACTAACATTGGAATTTTCTTTGATAAAGTTTAACTGTATACGATCACTCAATTTGTCTAAGGAACTTGGACCCCTTCTTCTAAATTTTGATTCCATGGATGCAATTTCTAGGTTCTAAATGATATAAAGTCTCTTCATTTCTTTGTTTTTAAAACATTGTCATAAAAGGACATTTTCTAATACTAAGCAACTTCAATATGCCTTATTACAGTGTCTTACTATTGCTATCTTGTGGCCAGAAAATGACCATATGTGAATTTTCAGAAAATTATGTCAAGTGTGTTCATGAGATTCACAGAGATGAGGAAAGAGACAAAGAAACTCTTGAGTGATGTGACACTCTCCAATCTCCAGTGTACAAAAGAGTCTACAGATTTGCACTAAGATCTGTTAGATGAGTCCATATGAGATGAGAGTTCTAGTTTAAGAGGTTGGATGGTCAGTGTTGTACCCAGAGTCCCCCAAAGACCACCAAAAGACCGATCCAAATGCAAAAGCAAAGAGTATTTTAATTTACAAGTTTAAACTCAGGTCCCTCCATCCATCTGACACAGCAGCTGAGCAGGAGATCTCACTCTGAGTGGCAATCAAGCAGGGTTTTTATAATGGTTAGGGTAGGGGATCTAGAGGAATTCCAGCTCTATGTAGCTACAAGCTCAGGATTGGTGCTTACTTTAGGTTAGAGATGCTTGGTTTGAACTGATTGGAGAGTTGCAGATGTAAGGAAATAGCCATCTCCTCTAGCAGTTTGTCATCGCAGACCCATTTTCTCTGACAACTAGACATCCCATTTCCTATCTGTAGGAAACTTGTTCCCTGTAACAGATATGATACATAATCTCTCATATCCTTTAGGTTATGGCAGGAAATGTCTAGAACTTGTTTTTTATGTGGCTCTTAATTGTCTGGGTCTAGGAGCAGCCCATCCTCTGGTGGGTTTCCCAGGGCTTAGGGTGGAGGGGCAGCCCATCCTCTGGTGGGTTTCCCAGGGCTTAGGGTGGAGGGGCAGCCCATCCTCTGGTGGGTTTCCCAGGGCTTAGGGTGGAGGGGCAGCCCATCCTCTGGTGGGTTTCCCAGGGCTTAGGGTGGAGGGGCAGCCCATCCTCTGGTGGGTTTCCCAGGGCTTAGGGTGGAGGGGCAGCCCATCCTCTGGTGGGTTTCCCAGGGCTTAGGGTGGAGGGGCAGCCCATCCTCTGGTGGGTTTCCCAGAGCCTGCTGCCCCAGTCTGACCCTTCTCTAAGATGGCTACAACCCTGTCATCCTCCCAGTTAGAAGGTTGAATTTCTCTTTTAAAACTTCTTGCCTGGTGGTGGTGGCGCACGCCTTTAATCCCAGCACTCAGGAGGCAGAGCCAGGTGGATCTCTGTGAGTTCAAGGCCAGCCTGGTCTACAAAGTGAGTTCAAGGACAGGCTCCAAAGCTACACAGAGAAACCCTGTCTCAAAAAACCAAAAAAAAACCAAAAAACAAAAAAAACCTTAGTTTTAAGTGGTTAAATAAGATGTACAGACAGATATATGGAATGATTGAATAACTAATAATTATCCACAGGAAAATTAGGATAAGTTATGAATAGATATAGAGAGGGGTGTAGGTAGTCAGTATGTCTGGGACAGACATAGTGAATAGAGAGCAGGAGTTGGTAATGAGTGGGGGTGGGGTCGAGATGGTAACGTATGGGTAGAGTGGAGAATATGTACTCAGTGGACGAATCTGGCAACAGTTCATGAGTGCAAGTAGATAGTGAGCATATGGAGTAAATATGAGGAAGAATGGGACTGTGAATGGGTAGATGGTGAGTGTGTATGATGTTGAATAAGTATCAAGTGTATGAGGGCAGGAGGATGTAGCAAGTGCAAGTCAGTGATGATGTGTATATAGGGAGAGGCAGGTGATGGTGGCATTAGGACAAAGGTTTCTAAGGAGAACTCCTATCTCCTGTATACTTAAATAATAACTACCTATCATTCTAACTCTAGGTAAGTGGTTAAAGGGATTAAATCGGTATAGAATAGCAGATAATGGGAAAGAATGAGGTGAGCTGTGTGAATAGTGAGTAGCTTTGTGTAACAACCCATGTAGTTTTTGTGTGAGATTGAGGGGTGTGATAGTAACTAGTTAGGTAGCCAGTGAACAAAGACATTGGACCTAATCCTTGTAATCAGACTTTTCTTGTTCAGCAGATTTGGTCTCATACTTGGAACTTAGTCTTAAAACCAGTCTTTTAGGATTTGGGGTATATTGCTCTAAGTTTTCCTGGTTTGTAGAGTTTCCATTAAGAAATTAGCTGCTCTTTCGATGGATTTTCCTTTATATGTGACTTGTAAGATTTTTGGCTATGTTGTTTTGGTTTTGTTTGTTTTAAGTGAAGTCTCACTATGTAGCCTTAACTGTTCTAGGACTAGATGTGTAGACCAGGCTAGGCTTGAACTTACAGAGATACTCTTAACTCTGCCTTTTGAGTGCTGGGATTGAAGGCATGTCTGTGACTTTCATTGTATCTTGCAGCTTTTAAAACTCTCACTTTGTTCTATATATTTAATGTTTTAACTATAACATCCCATTTTATGGCCCTATCTGTTTGGCATTCTGTGTGTTTCTTATATCTGAATGGATTTGGCTTTTTCCTTAGTTTGGTCTAGGTTTTTTTTGCTTTTGTTTATTTTATCTATGATGTTATTGAAGATCTTGTCTATGCCACTGACTTGGGATTCTTCTTCACCTATGGCTATAATTTGAAGATTTTGGTCCGTTCATTGTGTCCAACAGTCCCTGCATGTTCCTTTTATGTGTTTCTTGAAGTTTTTCATAGTCTTTGTTTGAATGGTCTAATCTCTACTTCATTTTCAAGTCCTGATATTCCTTCTTCTACTTGTAAGGATTTCCTCTGCATTTTCTAATTGGATTATTGAGTTTTTCCAACTTTCATCTTCTTTCTAGCTTGAGTTCTTTTTAATATTTCTATCTCTTTATGACATACAGTTTTCAGATTCTGGATTGGCTTTGTTACTTCATTCAGCACTGTATTTGTATTTTCTTGGCTATCACTCCAGACATTTGTTTCTTTTCTCATTAAATTCATTCTTTACACTTGTAGAATTCTTTGGTGATGTTTGTGATCATTCTTTTAAGTTCTGAGTCCCAGGGCTTACTTAGTCAATTCTCATTGGACAATATTTCTATATAGCACTGGATGATTTAGAGGGGAGATATACTGTCTTCACCTTTCTTGTTGTTTGTGTTTTTACAATGAGAAGTGGACATGTGGACTCCATTCATTGACTGGCTGTTTGATGTGAGATTCTAGGCTGCCTCAGGTCAGACTAGTACACAGGCACTTCAGTAAGGCCTGAGGGTTGAGGACAATATGGGTGTGCAAGTTTCCAGGAACACACTGGGTTGGATCCATGAACAGATTTGCATCCTGGGCTATGCCTGGAGGTTAGATGTGGTGATATTTTATTTGTGCTCTAATAAATAAAACTTATCTGGGGATCAGAGGACAGAACCAGCCACCAGATTAGACATAGAGGCCAGACAGTGATAGCACACACCCTTAATCCTATCACTTGGGAGGCAGAGATTCCTCTGAATCTCTGTGAGTTCAAGGTCACACTGAGAACAGAGCCAGACATGCTGGCACGCACCTTTAATTCCAGCACTTAAGATCTCATGTTTTTGCTTGGGAACAAGGACACATGCCTTAATCCCAGGAAGTGATGGCAGAAAACAGAAAAATATATAAGGCATGAGGACTCAGAGGTTTTCAGTCCGAGGATTCATGGAAATAGGATAGGCTGAGGAGTTGACAAGGTGAGGTTGGCTATGACTTGTTCTATTCCTCTGATTTCTCAGCATTCACCTCAATATCTGGCTCTGGGTTTTTTTTTTATTAATAAGGCCATTTAGCAATTCGTGTTACAGTTAAATATTGTTCAGGCAGGCTAGGGTCAGCAGGGGTGGGAATATCAACAGACTGTACTAGTACATAGGTTGTGCCAACAGGAACAGGTCTGAGATTGGGAAGGAATACGCAGGGTAGGGTTATAGCTTGGTACAGGTCATTCTACCCAGGCTAGGATATAAGTCCCTGGCTTGTTCTGGGAATTAGAGATGGTGAGAGTCAACTAGGATTCAGGGAATTCACCAGACTGGACCTGGACACAGAATATGGAGGCAAGGACTAGATGTTGGATATGTTGTGGGTAACTGGAATGAAAGAGAGGGGACATAAAGTACAGGTAGTCCAGCTGGATCTGTGGCATGGGTGTGGTAGCTACAGTGTCCCAGGTAAAAAGCAGGGCTGAGGTTAGCAGCAGGTACCAAAGGAAGCGAGATAGGTAGAGAAGAGTGTCTTAGTCAGTGTTCTATTGCTGTGAAGAGACATTATGATCACAGCAACTCTTATAAAGGAAAGCATTTATTGGACTTGCTTGTAGTTTCAGAGGTTTAGTCCATTGTCCTCATGGCAGGAACATGGCAGCATGTAGGAAGGCATGTTGCTGGAGAAATAGCTGAGAATTCTAAATCCAGATCTGCAGGAAGCGAAAGACACTGGAATTGGCTTGGGCTTTTGAAACCCAACAGGCCACCAGTGACAAACTTCCTCTAGAAAGACCACACCTATTCTAGCAAGGCCACACCTCCTGGTCTCTCTCGAGTAGTGCTCCTCTCTAATGACTAAGCATTCAAATACATGAGCCTTTGGAGGTCATTCTTATTCAAAGCACCACAAGGGGTCTTGCCTATTTTTAAATCTCTACTACTGAATATGTTTCTCACAATGGTTTCACTTTTGTTTGCATATTGCTACATTAGCTTTTAGTATTGTTCTGTACCCTTTGCCACCAAGTATACACTTGGATAGTCTCTCTTTTCCGTCCCACACCAAACATACATACATTCCCTCTCATTCCTACCTCTCTTATTCTTTCTGCTTTCCTTATCTCTTACTTGGTATAGCTCATAACTATAACCTTCAATGGCATCAACAATCTCTGAAGTCTGTGGCCCTAAATAGTATCCAAACAATCATCTCCCAGGAGGATAGGATCACATTTGATCTTTTTAAAAGGTGATCTAACACCAGTCACTACACTCACCTACAATATTTGCCTCCCATCCCTAATATTAGTAATTAAAATCCCATCATACACCATATTGTCCTTACTTATTTATCCTCAAATGGCTATTGAAGTCAAAGAGAAAACCATTAATTGAACAGTGCATCTGCATATACGACCATCCAGAAGTTGTAGCTGCTTTCGCAGTTAATCATAATAGGAGAAATATAGAGTATGTACAAGAACTAAGCTCTTAGACAAAGGATATTTCTTATGAACTACATACCTCAACTCTATCACAAACTAGTTGCAAATTAGCCAAGATACATATATCCTAGGATGGTAATGTAAGAGACATGAAAACTCGAGGTCACATAACTTCCAAAAATTATTAATCACACATAATTGCCAACAGTAAAAGTGAGTTAGCTGAAACTTCAGTCACCTCTCCAAAAAAAAAAAAAAACCTTCTAAAGAATAGCAAATATTTTTTAAGGTTTATTTATTCATTATGTATACAGTATTCTGTCTGCATGTGTCCTTACAGGCCAGAAGATGGCACCAGATCTCATTACAAGTGGTTGTGAGCTACCATGTAGTGGTGGAACTCAGGACCTCTGGAAGAGCAGTCAGTGCTCTTAACTGCTGAGCCATCTCTCCAGCCCCAATAATAGCAAATATTAAAAAGAAAAAAAAGGCAAGCAAGCAAACTGTTGAATGAATCCCAAGAGAACACACACACACACACACAGAGAGAGAGAGAGAGAGAGAGAGAGAGAGAGAGAGAGAATAAATTAATTCATTTCCAAGAGCCACAACCATGAAATGTACAAAATAAAAAATAAAAGTGCAGAAAAACAAAAGAAAATAAGTGTGACTTTGCTAAGGGTCTATGAAAAAGCAGACAACAGCAGCCAAGAAGCATCATTGTACCTGAGAGGTGTACCCTATTTTAAAGGGTCAACAGGCAATACCAGAAATTTCATATATTCTATTCATTATGACAGTTACACACATAAATATGGAAGAGACAATTCAGAGAAACATTTCTTTTTCAATAAGCAAGTCTTAAGTTATACATGTGTGTACATGTGTATGAAACAGCAGCTAACTTGTGAAGTCAATTATGCTACATTCTTAAGGTACAACTGGTAAATATGTAATTGAATTAAAGTACTTATGATTTAGCAAAGTAAACATATATACATAAAATATATAGATACTTTATTCTAACTTTAAAACCCATATGTTTGGGTGTAGGTATTAGAAATATTTATACTAAGCTTTAGTGTTTATCTCTTAGGAATGGGAATTCTGAGTCTTTTTTCTCCTTCTCTCTGTTTATTAATTTTCCATTGGTATTTGTTATCATTTTAAGTATTTTTCAAAGTACCAAGAAGAAAGGATTTTGAATGTTTTCATCACAAAGATATGATAAATGTTTAAGGCAATTGATATGCTAATTACCTTAATCTGATCATTATACAATGTGTATGTAAATCAAAATGTCACACTGTATTTCACAAATACATTTTATAAATCTGGTAATTAAAAATTGACAAACTTGCCATGATACAGGGGTTCACAGAGATAGCATAATTTCTCCAAAATCAAATAGGTAATAAGTAGTAAAACCAAAATTCCAATATGAATATATTCCTTCTATAGTCCATGCTTTATGATTTATAACACTCTAGTTGAAAAACAAATTCAATAGTAATCTCAGTCTGACCCATTCTGTTCCCCTCACATACACTACACCATCATGATCATCACCATCACTACTATCTAACCAAACAAAAGACTTTCCAATGGCATCACATTTAGGAACTACTGCTTCAATACCCCTCACAATCACCTGGAGGGCCAGGAACTCAGAGACCTAGGACAAAGCCAAGATATGACTAACAACAACAACAAAAAAAGCCCTCAATGAAATGATTCCTGATGATATTCTCCTATGTTCATAGATTGGTGCCTACCAAATCATCATCAGAGAATCTTCATCCAGCAACTGATGGGAGCAGATCCAGAGACTCACAACCAAGCATTAGGCAGAGCTCTGGGAACTCTGCAGAAGAGAGGGAGGAAGGGTTGTAGGAGACAGAGGGTTCAAGGACACCAGGAGAACAGGAACCACAGAATCAACTAACCTCTGCTCATAGGGGCTCACAGAGACTCACAGAGACTGAAGCAACAACCACAGAGCCTGCACAGGCCTGTGCTAAGTCCTCTCTCTATACCTTCTGGTTGGTTAGCTGTGGGTTTTTGTAGGAATCCTAACAGTGGGAGCAGGGTGTCTATGCCTCTTTTGCCTGCTCTTGGGACTCTTTTCCTCCCACTGGGTTGGCTTGTGCAGCCTTGAGGTGAGGGTTTATGCCTATTGCATCTTGTTAGGCCATGTTCAGTTCATATTCCTGGGAGGCCTGTTCTTTTCTGAAGGGAAAGGGAGAAGCAGTGGATCTGGGAGAGAGAGGATGTGAGTATGTGTGGGGGGTGGTGCTTGGAAAAACAAAAGAAGGGGAGGCTGTCATAGGGATGTATTGTATGAGAGAAGAATAAAAAAACTGAAAATAAAAGAACTACTGCCTCTGCAAGTCACCTTGGCAAACAACAATCAGTAACAGCTAGAACTTTACTGGCTGAGAGGCCTGTTGTGCAGGGAGACTTTCTTGAGTTCCAAGAAGAGGCAGCATGCCAAGAGTGTTCTCCTGGGAATATAATATATGGAATACTAATTATGTACTGCTAGAACACACACAACAGGAATATAATTACACTGAGCAAGCAGGAAGGCAGATTATTTATCAACCAGAGCAGAGAAAATGGAACATTACCTAATAAGCAATAATTGAAAGTTAATAACAGATTTTAAGAATCTATCTTTGTTTCCACAATGATGCTATAAAAACTCAGATTAACATAAAAATATCTAGATATGAGAAGTTTTTCTCTAACAGTATGATAGGAATGCTGTTCAAAGTGATAGGAATGATAACACCATTCTGAGAAATAGTCATAAATACAGGATTTTGGTTATAAAATAAGAATGTAATAACTAAGGTAGTATAACTTAAAGCATATTTGATATGCTATGAAATCTTTTTAGTGGTATATTGGTTATGTAAAATTGTATTTACAAAACTATGACCTAATTACTTCAATTCTGCAAATATTATTCCATGTTGTTTAGCCATCTGTCCAAATGCTGGCTTATACTACACAAATGGGCTTGAGCTATAATAGAAAAATGTACATCCTCTAGTAGCTTTCAACCAGATCCCTGCTGGCCCCATCAGATGACCTTCTGCAAACAGTGTTTGTGATCTGACCTTTAGTGTATGCATGCTTGAGTCCCAGATCTGCTTTGTAAGAGTATATATAGGAAGTCTTTGCCAGATAGTAGTAAACATAGGGTTTTTGTCATTTTGTAAATATTAGTATTCACTTTGTGATTAAGGCTCATCATAAAGAGAACACATGCGCGCGCGTGCGCGCGCACACACACACGCACACACACACACACACACACACACACACTGAATGAATAAATAAATAAATGTTCTAACAATACAGGAATGAATAAGTGCTGTTATAAACAAAGTAAAAGCAACTTACTAATGTCTTAACTTTTGTATCTACTAAGAGTGACCCTTCCCCTGTATAAACACAAATGTGTTGTGTGAGTTACTTTGTAAATAGAATACCTCTAACTTTTATGATTTAGAATAATACCATGAACATCCTCTTAGCTAGCATTTCAGAGAAGCTAGACAAGAAAGCTTGTGTGTGTGTGTGTGTGTGTGTGTGTGTGTGTGTGTGTGTGTGTGTGTGTGTGCTGTGTATGCCAGTATCTGAGGAGGCTAGAAGAAGGTGTCATATATGCTGGGGCTTATGGGAGGTACAGGTGATTATGAGCCACAAAGCATGGGCACTGAGAACTAAGCTATTGTCTTCTGGAAGGGAAGAAATCACTCCTAACAACACTGCCTTTTTCCAGCCCCAGGTTATTATCTTAGTTCACATTTGTTGCTACAGCTTGGACACATTGCACCCATTAAGTTTTACTGACCATATTAAGTTTAGGCACTTTTCTTTTATATTCCAGTTTTCAGTCAACATTCCTTCCCTATTATGATCCAGGAACAGTAAGTGGTTGGACTAGAATCCCTGTTAATACAAGGCAGCATGTCCAAAGGAAACCCTTTCTCCTCTCTGCACAAGAAACTGACATGTGGTGATATTGTTAGGTCTGGATACGTGGAAACACGCCAACTATGTCACAATATCAAGAACTTTCTGGAAAAAAAAGTAGTAAAAAGGTAATTTTTCGATGTAAAAATGCATCTTAACTGAGAGAAGTATAGATGTAGAGAAATACCTGTTTGGGATTTCTTGAATATGGTGACTTGTAACTCGGTATCCCCTTGGCTAACATCCTACAAGCACAGCCTGCACAGATGTTAGAAGGG